AAGAAGAAGAAGAAGAAGAAGAAGAGGAAGAAGAAGAAGAAGAAGAAGAAGAAGAAGAAGAAGAAGAAGAAGAAGAAGTTTCTATTATGTGAAATCTGTTGCTTATAATATTGTCGTTACATTTGTTTAGAAACAACTTCCTCCTGGTGTGTTTCCCCTATCCTCACCCCGAAAAATTGTTCAAGAGCATTATTAGGTAGATTTTTACTATTCTAAACTAGCTTGATACGTGAGTCATAGTTCTTTCCCAACAGGCGCTCATGACTGATGAGACAAAGTCAATTTTTGGAGAAGCACTTTTGGAAGGTCAGATCGTAATGTATACGGTTCACCACGGCATTGTGAATTACGTCTTAATCTAAAATACGCAACTCTATTTTAAGATACTGCTGGCCCGCTACTTAAGAGGTGTGGTCTTTGAATTATTTTGCTTCCTTCAGGAGGTTGAAGAGACTTCATGGCGTCTGGTATCATCTAGTTGTCTATGAGTCAGGGGAGACAAAAGGGGAAATGGAACTTTTTATGTGACAGCAAAATAAATTAATATGTGTAGAACAAAATTACCCCCCCCCCCCCCGGGGGCAGTGCCACTGACTTAAGTGTCTTTAGGCCATTCCCAAAGGGGGACATATCTCGTTCAAGCATAGTAGAATTGTAAATGGGCTGATTCATGTCACGCTCATAACTGTGCCTGATGTACAACAGGAAACTGCTGCTTTTTCTTTCCTGATCCTTACTATTGTCATTTTCCTCTACTTCTTTTGTAGGCTATGTTTGTCACTTCCTTGTGACCTGCTATTTTGGGGTGCCTTGATAGCCGAAGCAGACCTTGTGCTGTTGAAGCTAGAGAGGTGAGCAGTCTAAGTCTGATTCCCTGTAAAGATTTCTCTGTTGACACCCGCCCCTTGGCGCTCATATGACCTTATGCAGTTGCGAGCGCCGTAAAACCCTCTACTATAAAAAAAAATTAATATTAGCTCCCCTTTCCTTTCAACGCTCAATTACATAATAATATTGTACATTTTTAGTATATCCAGCTGCATGCTTTCCAGCGTTCTCATTTAAGCAGCCTAAACATTTCCATTCCCCTTTTCATTCTCCTTTGAATACATGTACTCTCCTCCGTAATAATAGCTTTCCATCTTTAATTGGTCGAAAAGGCGGCAGCCCTGCAGCGATACGTTCTTGCCACGAAAAAATTTCAACTCTGTCTTACGTCGTTCTCAGATGGCTACCGAGGGTTCCGGAAATCGTGTCCAGAGCTATGTTCTAGTCACTCAGCATCCTCCGGGCAGTTACGTCACATCTCCAGGTCGGGACCCTACAGTCCTTACCCCAGGGCGTTGACCTGTCCAGATCTAAGACGCACAGAGCACAGTTTGCCAGCAGTTACAGAGACAGGCGGTGACACGATGAACCTAGCCAGGACTGCCTCGGTACGTTGTCTGTCTGTCTGTTTGTCTGTCTATCTGTCCGCTTCTGTCTGTCTGTCTGTCTGTATGTCTGTGTGTCTGTCTGTCTGTTCACCCCATCCCTTCTAGTGCTTTTGATTTTGTCTTTTTTTTCTAAACACAGATGAATAAAAGGGGATCATTTTGGGGGAAGGGAGGGGGTGGAGGAATTTTGGAAACAGGGAGGTAATGCGTTGTTCAGGAGAAAAAAGAAACTAAAATTAATATCCAGTAATGTGTCAGGGATTAATTACGTGAAAATCGTAATATCGAGGAGTACGAAAGACAGGAGGGCTAACAGAAAGACGGCATAAGGAGAGAGAGAGAGAGAGAGAGAGAGAGAGAGAGAGAGAGAGAGAGAAAGAGAGAGAGAAGGGGAGAGAGAGGGGGGGGAGAGAGAGAGGGAGAGAGAGAGAGAGAGAGAGAGAGAGAGAGAGAGAGAGAGAAGGGGGAGAGAGAGAGGGGGAGAGAGAGAGAGAGAGAGAGAGAGAGAGAGAGAGAGAGAGAGAGAGAGAGAGAGAGAGAGAGAGGTGCGAACATTGTCGAGGGCTGAAGAAAAAGTAGTGCATCAGCACCGATGAGTCATGGTTTTCGTGACGTCACTCGGAGAGTCCCCTGCCCACGCCATGTCTTTGAGAGGTGGGATAAAGGGGGATAATTAGTCATCAATGTCAGAGGAGACGAGCGGCGGGCCAGGGTCTTACAGGTATGGCGCTAGGGGCGACAGGCACTCTGGGAAGTGGCAGGCACACTAGGAGCAGAGCTCTGGCACTCTGGAGAGGGCTTATGATCGATCGCTCTTTCTCACTGAGGAGGAAATGAAGAAAGGAACAAGGTTTAAGGCTGGCAGGGACAGGCGATTCCACGAACGATGGCCAATTGTCTCTATGATGCTGAGGAGCGGTGGCTCCAAGAAGAGGGAGCAAGAGGGTATCAAAGGAAGGGGTAATGCGAGTCAAGTTTTGTAACAGCCAATCTAGGTCGAGGAAGAAAAGGATCGTAGAGGATAAAGAAGGGATGATAGATTATTTAGCGATTCCGGTACACTGATAATGCACTAAACATGATATAGGAACTTTTGTTTAGCACAGGCGAGTGCATTGAAGCATTGTTTTATTGATGAATCTGGAGTAATGAGGGTTTTGTCGAGCTGATGAAATAAGCGCTTCGGGAGATAAGAATGACCATGAATATGAATTACCATAAAAGCAACCTATGCAGCTTGGCAGTCACAATAGGGGTGTGCACTGGTGGAATTAGTGGAGTGTCAAATGAAGTCGAGTAAGCGAATTAGTATTGTCTTGAGAGGAGCGTGTACAGGCAAAAGCAGTTAGACAAAATGCGACTTGAGACCACGTATAAACTGCCTTGGTGGTGAGGAATTTATGATTGGTCTGCTTGCCTTTCTTCTGCCTTGCTGTTGTTGTTGTTGTTGTTGTTGTTGTTGTTGTTGTTGTTACTGTTGTTATTGTTGTTCTGTTTTGTTTTGTTTTTAACTAAATCGAGTTTCAAAGTATTCCAAGTGGAGCACCTGATTCAGTAATCACTTTGATGATTTCCTACAGATTGTAAATTTTCATGATCCTATCAATGATCAACTGTCTTTTCGTCTTGTCTCCTTAAAAGACGACAACGGCAACTTGAAAAGATGTAATCACAAACGTGTGTTTTTCTATATATTTTTTAAAAATTTGTTTTGTT